TGTCACGCTGGGGCAGGAGGCAAGTCCTGCGGCGGCTGGGGGATACCCTGCAGTACCTGCGCGTCTGCCTGCACAAGAAATGCCTTGACCACTTTGTTGTGGGCAACCAGAAACTTCCTGAGGAGATAATCTTGCCCCCGCATGTCAAAACCGCACAGCCACCCAACCTCTTCTATCGCCTGGAACAGGATCCCGACGCACACACCCAGGCCATGAGGGAGTACCATGAACTGGCAGATCGGATTGAAAGAATTGTCTTCTACGGCCATTGAAAGAGGTCTGTCCATCGACACCTGTGCTTGTGGGGCTCACAGCTGCAGGCAGACAACCACCTTAGACTGCAGGCAAAAAGAAAGGACGATGTGGGACAGAGAGAACCAAGAGAAAACCCTGTGCAGCAGCACTCTGCCATCAGCATTCGCCTCTCAGCAGTCTGCCCAGCACAGCATCCAGTCATGACCAGGGGGCTCCAAATATAACTTTCATCCTCCTTTCCCCTCACACTCTCATGGCCATTGTGGCCATTTGAGATGGGCCCAGGAATTCTTTTTGGCAGCTCCCGCTGCTCAGGGCTCGAGCGAGAGACATGGCTAATATTCCTAAACTCTCTCTCTCCTTGTTCCCTGACGGGACATCAGTCGGTCAGCATTTTGCCAACTCTGTTGGTTCTGACCTGACATTTTTCATAGAGAAGTCTATATTTTTAATTAATATATAGATTTTTAAGTAATAGAGCATATAAAAATATAGTTCATGTAGGATACACATATTTATTTAGAATTTAGTTAAATAGTAGTTTTCCAATAGAAATATAGAACAAATAAATCTCTCCCAGTGTCTCCCCATGTGCCCTTAAGGGACACCTTTAGGTCAGCACTGGACCAAGACTATCTTTCCCAGTCTGGGTCTTAGCTGACCTCAAGTTTCTTAGATATAAAGAAACCCTTTTTTAAAATTTTTTAGCTATTTCCTATGTATTTTTTAGGGAAATTTTTTATGATATTTTTAGATAAATGTAGCACCCATAGGTCTCCCCTTATTATTCCCGTTACATATTACCTCCCTGTAGTCCCTGCACTTATGACTGGAAAAGCAGAATATGCTTTCTCCTTTTTTCAATAAAGAGAGCTATTCCAGAAACTGATCTGTGCAAGTTTGTATGGAACTCAAGCGGGCCCAGAGTCTTGGTAAATCACACCAGCTGTGAGTCTGTGCTCATGAACATTGGCACTGAGCTCGACCAAACCAAGAGTGCTGAATTGGTTCTCCTCCCAAATTAGACCTCCTGCCACCCGGCCCTTCTGCTCATGGAATCTCAGATGGGCTCGTGCTGGAAGGGACCTCAAAATTCATCTGGTTCCAACCCCTCTGCCACGGGCAGGGACACCTTCCAGCAGATGTGTTTTCTCCAAGCCCCATCCCACCAGGCCTTCAACACTCCCAGGGTTGGGGCATCCACAGCATCTGGGGTCAACCTGTGCCACTGCCTCATTACCCTGACACTCAAGACTTTCTTCCTGTTATCCAAACCGAGCCTGCCCTCTGAAATCTAAAACCATTTCCCCTTGTCCTCTCACTAGGTGCCCTTCTAAGAAGTCTCTCCTTCTCTCTCATATAGGCTCCTTTCAACTGCTGGAAGGCAATTAGGTCACCCCAAAGCCTTCTCTCAACCCAATCCCAATTCTCTCAACCTTTGCTCATGGCAAAGATGCCCCATTCCCCTCATTACCTCCCTTCTGTTGGCCACACAGCCCCTGCAGCATTGAGAAAAAGCAATGATTTGCTTTCTAACACTCAAACTGCAGTGTTAGGGGGTTTTCTTGTCCCAACAATTTGGGAGGATTTTGGTGACAGGAGAAAAGTCTGATGGGAAGCATTGGAGAGAAGGGGGGATTTTTAGCATGGAGAAAAGGAGAGTGAGGGAGGACCTACTGGTCCTCTACAACCACCTGATAGGAAGTGGTAGCCAGTTGAGAGGTGGCTTATTATATCTGGGAACAAGCAATAGGACAAGAGATGCCTCAAATTGCGCCAGGGGAGATTTCGATGGGATCTTGGGAAGAATTCCTTCACTGAAAAGCTTCTCCACTTTAAAAACAGACTAGCCAGGGAATGGCTGAGTCACCATCCTTGGAGGCATTGAAAGGGCCTGTCGATGTGTCATTTGGGTACATGGTTTATTGGTGGAATAGGCAGTGTAAGCTTTGAAGATGGACTAAAGATCATAAGGGTCTTTCCAACTTCCATAATTCATAATTTAATTTAAGCTCAACCAGTGCGGAGTTGGGGGTTGGACTCCAACATCCTTGAAGCTCCCTTGAAACCTGGATATTCCATGTGACTGCCACTGAAGAGGAGATGATAACAAATCGCAAAGAAAGAAAAACGGAACTTCTTGGAAGAAGATTAACTCAAGGGCAGCCTTAACCATTACACCAGGTCCACTCGGAATTGCTGAGCTGGGGTGGGGATGAAAGGCAGGGCTGGCCCGGCTGTGATGTGATCGGGCTCTTGTGACATCACAGGGGCCGTGTCACAATGGGGGCAGCTCTAGAGGGCCCCAGCAGGTAACGCTGCCCCAGTATAGCCTGGACAATTGGTGAGTACACACGCAGGGCCGAGGCTGGGCT